GGGAGCGCGCCGGGGGCCGGGGCGGGTTTCCCAGGCCGTAGGGAGCTGTCTGTCTGTGGGCGGGAAGCCAGCAAGGTAGTGTGTACATGGGGTGGGGGGAGGCAGAGAGGAGAGAAAGGGAGGAGAGACACAGGATTAGATAAACATACCACTGGGCAGCAGAGAGGTCTATAATGAACACGGGAGCCACACCTCCAGGATGGCCTAGAAAGGTGACCACTCATCCCTTCTCATAGTAAGTTAGCCACTAACTCTTCTACCAATGTTTCTGCACACTGCTCTGCTAGGAGCTCCTGTAGGGGAATGTAGGGAATGGAGTCTGCAGTTCTTAGGCAGCCTGGGCTGGTCCTCTATACTCAAAGGAGCCCCTCTCTAAGCCATGAGGAAGTCAGGCAGGCCAGTTCAGCTGCCAGAGTGAAGCACCCAGCTCACAGCCAAGTTGCCTCTAGTTAGTCCCCATTTATTGGGGGGGGTGTGTGTGACAAATATGCCTTTGAGTTTGTGTGTGAGTGTATGCACATGTGTAATTGGATTGATCTCTGATGCAGTTTGGCCAAGAGAGCCAGAGTTAGGGCCCCGAGGCTAGTCCACTCAACACCTAGCTGTTTTTAGGTGGCCTGGCGGTTGGAGCTGTAGTGATTCAGGGTGGACCTGGCACGCAGGGACTGGCAGGGTATCCGCCCTGAGCCAGCGTTTGGATGTGGATTAGCTCTACGCATGTTTATATGCTCAGCTTCTCTTGCCTTATGCAATTTAGAGAAGGAAAAAAAATACACACATACACAAAAACTTCAACCTGAGGTATGCAGGGGCCTGGAGGCAGCATGGGGCAGGCGGAACCCAGCTCCGGCTCCTTCCAGGATATCCCAGGCAGACTTCTTGTCTGATCTATGTGGGGCTGCAGCAGTACCTGCCTTGTGGGAAGGCTGGAGGCTCAGCAGATGGATGGTACTGTACTTGAAGTGAGCACACAGAGCATGGCCTAGGCATGGCTGCTGTCATGTATAGACTGATTCTCTGCAGGGGAAGTGTGGGTGGGCTCTAGCATCCTTAGACTCGGAAAGGAGTCCATCAGGCATTCTTCTTGTGTGATCCTGAAGAGCTTGCCTCACCTCTCCGAGCCTCAGTTATCCTGATCTGGGAAATGGAGCTAGCACTTTTCCTACAGGCTACTGTGAGGATTGGAAGGGTACACAACTCTGCCTGACTCGGGCGGTCCCCAGGTTGACTGATAACTAGTAACGGTGACTGGGTTCTCTCCCAGTGTCCTATCTGAGTCCTATAGCGAGCCAAGCAGTTGCAGTTTGTCAGAGGCCTTCACGCCCACCTTCTCCCACATTCCTGGTGGATGCTCACCCTGCAGTGTTCACCCAGATGATGTCCAGGTGGCAGAAGTACACACACTCCTTGTCAAGCCAGGAGTTGCAGGAGCAGCGGCGAAAACGCAGGTGGGGGCCACGGCCCTTGGGTGCCGGGGCTGGCTGCTCCAGAGCGGCAGCTGCTTGGCCCTTCCCTGCACACAGGAGGGAGAGAGAGGTGGAGAGGAGGTCAGGGCACCTGGCCTGCCTGGGATAGGGGACCCGCAGGGCTCCTCCTCTTGCATAATAAGGAAGTTGGCACTCTTGATGCTCAGGAACCACTGCTAGCCTGGGGAAGTCCCAGCCACCAGCGCTGTGCCTGCACTCTGCAGAGGCAGCTCCTACTGGGGGTTCCCTGCTCTCTGCTCCCAGTTGGCTTTGGGAAGCACCGTGCCCCTGGAGGAGATACCAATGGATAGACCCCTGGGTAGAAACAAATGAGGGATGGCAGCTCACCTTCATGCAGGGCCAAAAGCAGAGCCAGAGCGATGGAGCACCAGGCGGCAGATGTGGAGACCATAGCAGCAACAGAGTGCTTGGCTGGACCAGGGGAGCAGGGAGCGCCTGTCGCCAGCGTCCTGCTGCTAAGCCGAGCTGGGAGCTCATTGCCGAGGTGTCCTGACCGTCTCTTATAATACCAGGCAGGGTGCCCGCCCCTGCTGGTCCAGCCCCGCCTCGCCTAGCTGCTGCTGCACCTTGGGCAGGGAGCCAGGGACACCGCCTCCTCCCTGGGTGCCTGGCCCGCCTTGGCCTCCTGGTGAGGGGGAGGGAGGTGGAAGGCTGGGCTCTGGCTGCGCTGGAGTACCTTCTGAAGTCTCCAGGCTCCCTGCGGGCCCGGGGCCCCTCGGAGTTCTGAAGTTACCCCCAAGTGCTCCCAACCCCCTCCCTACTCTCCCCGCGGCCCTCCAGAACTGGAAGTTTGGAGTGGAGGTCTCAAAGCAAAGCCCTCCCTCTTTACTGGGATTCTGCCACCCTCCTCCCTGCTCATTGTGAAGCAAGCTGAGATATCCCTTCACTGTGTGGGAGGTGAAAGGCCCACTCGAGGCTTCGAGGCTTCGTGGCCTTGGGCGAGTCAGAACCCCGTTTGGACCGCTGGCCTCAGGAAGGGCACAACTCATGCCTGACCTTTGACAGCCTGGGGCTGCCTCATCCTCATCTTACCCAAGAAATATTGCCACCCCTCCATGCACTCCCCCCCCACCTGTAGTAGGAGTTCTGGTCCTTTCAGAAACCACTTAGTTGTGCAAGCATGGCCAGGGAAAAGCCTCCTGGGTCCAAGTTTCCTTGCTTGCAAACAAAACCAAAACAGGGGGCTCCTTACCCTGTTTGGTTCACATCTGCCCTTGACATAGAGAAGGTACATCAGAGTCTTTCTAAGAAAGTTCTCCATAGGCACACAGAGGGTGTCCTGAATGGTTTTCCACTGTGATCACAACAGAATATCTTGTCTTACCTCAGTGGCTACTCTGCAAAAATGGAGAAGCAGGGAGGCTGGCAAGGTGGGTCAGATGGTAAAAGTGTTTGCCACACAAGCCCGGTTATCTGAGTTTGAGCCCTGGACCCCAGCGGTGGTGTGCATCTATGATCCAGGCATTCTTATGAGGAGGTGAGAGGTGTAGACAGGAGAATTGCCTATAAATTTATGGGCCAGCTTCCCTGGAGTATATAGCACACGGCGGGGACAAGAAAGACAGAGGAGAGAACTGCCAGTTGTCCTCTGACTTCCATAGCATGTGTGAACCCATTCTCTCTCTCTCTCTCTCTCTCTCTCTCTCTCTCTCTCTCTCTCTCTCACACACACACACACACACACACACACGTATTTAATGATAAATAAATGGAGAAGGAGTAAGAGAAGGCAAGTCAGGAGGAGTGGCTCTCTAGGGCCTGGCATTCTGTTTCGGGTCCCTAGGCTGACTCAGAAGTCTTGTTAGAGGCAAAAGCAAAGACACACTGTGGGGAAGGGAAGGGACAGAATGAACAACTCAGAGCATTGGCAGCCCTCTGTGCCTGCCCTGTCCACTCAAGTAGATCCTTTCAGGGAGCCTGGCTGCAGGTACATGGGAAAGGCCCTCAAGTTCCTGGAATTCTAGGCCTGCCTGACTCATGGGTAGTAAGTAGACTTATCTTACATTCTTGAGGTCTGGAACCCTACAGAGGGCATGGCCTGTGGCTTTCCCTGTACATAGGGCATATCACAGGAGCCCTGCAAATGCACTCTGAGGGACAGAGAGTGACTTAGGACTCACCTGGCTCTGGACTGTGGATCCCAGACCATTCAGCATCTCATGCAGAGTTCTTAGTTCCTCAGTTAAAAAATGGATAAAGAGAAAACAGCAGAAGGAAAGGCCATAATGCCTCTTCCCAGGGTGACCAAAGAGAGGGGGGGAGGAAGGAGGGAGGGAGGGAAGGAAAGAGAGAGAAAGAGAGAGGGAGAAGTCTGGTTGAAGTCTGGCAGAAAAAAGGAAGAATGAGGCAAGGGCGGTGAGTAAGAGCCGTCCCAGAACCCAGAAGAATCAAGAACACACTTTAACCTATGATATGCTCAGGCATTTGCCACTTCTCATGGCCATCCTAGGATGCAGCTGCTCTCTTCTGGTGTCAGTTCCAAGAATACCCACAAGGAGGCTCAGAGAGCAGGTATGTGTGTGTGTGGGGGGTAGGGTTTGCATCAGCCATATAGCTGGCATATGACCGAACACCCTTTGGAACCCCAATCTTGATCTCACCAGCAAACCACAATGGACTAGACTCCCAGGTGGGTCTCACTGTCCTCCCCTATGTGGCAGCTCTGTAAGAATTCAGAAGAATAGCTCTGGAATGAGGTGAGCCATTCTACTAGGCTCTGAGAGAATGTGGCTAGGGATTTGTGTAGGGGTATAGAGGGTGGGGAGTTAAAAGAAAGAAGAGAGAGCAGGTCAGTGGAGAAGGAGTAGGGTCAAGGTAGGGAGGAAAACAAACAGGGAGATAAAGGCAGGTATAGGAGGAGAGCTTGGGAGAACCAGGAAGCAGGGAGAACGACAGAGCTGAGATTTGAGGAAGTAAAAGAGAAAGATGGGGGGGGAGCAAGAGGCAGGGTTCTAACCTGTCTAATCTTCACACAAATGCAAAATGCCTGCCCAGGACAATAGGGAACCAGAGGCCCCGCAGTCTGGGAAGCATAATAGAAGAATGAAATGGAGCAGGGGACAGATCTTTCTGGGTGTGAAAAGAGAGTGACAACAGGGCAGGGGCCACCGCAGCCTCACGGGGTCAGCACAGGGAACTGTCTTGCTGGCTCTGGTTTCTCCTCTTCCCTGGCTTGGGCTCCAGCTGGACAGGCCAGGCTATATGTAATGGAGAGGCCTGCCTAGGAACCTGAGCGAGTCCAGCCTGTCTTAGGGGATGGGGCCTTTCCGGGAACAGTGCTACCTCACTGACAAGAGCTGTTTTCCAGGTAGAGAAATTAAGCTGAGTTAAAAATAGCCTCCCTAGGCCCTTGAATCTCTTGGCCTAGGCCCTAGCAATCACCCTTCTCCCTCCTGGTAGATCTGGGGGCTTGCCCCTGTCCACTGTAATTGTGCTGGCCAAGCTGTCCCTATTCCTTCCAAGTGACTTGGTTGCATGCCCTTGCCTGGCTGTGCTGACGCTGGTGGCCTGGTCCTCACCACCTGTCCCAGCCACCCATTTTGCTGCCTCCTAGCTGCCTAGGTCTTTTTTCTTTTTTCTTTCTTTCTTTTTTTTCTGCCTAGGTCTTTAACAGCTCCAGGGAGGGGGACGGGGGCACACCTGAGTAGGAGTTTGAGGAAACTTTTTGTTGTTGTTGTTGTTGCACAAATGATAGTTTACCCACCATGAGTTTAGCTTGGGGTCCATCTGAGTCCCTTTGGGGAAAGCTATCAGAAGGACCTCACTGACAGAAAAACCAGACACTGGGAGGTGCCCAGGCTGTCTCCCTAGCACCTTAAAACTCCATAATCTCTGTGCAGAGAGCAGGTACCAAGGAGCAGCTGTCCAGCCAGAAGATACTGCACTGGATGGAGGATTCCTAGGAGGGAGGCTCAGTGTTCCGGGAACATTGTCCCACTTGACAGGGATGGCCTAGAGCAGCAGCCTAATATTTCAGGTAAGATCCTGGGACAGGAGGCCTTCCCCAGCTCTGCTACACAGTAGGGCTATGCTTCCACGCCCCTTCCTTGCTTCTGTCATCCTGTCTTCCTACTGATGGTGAGAGATGATCTCAGCTCCGGCTACACGTGGCATTCAGAATCCAACCTCTGGTACTTCGGAACCCCACAAATAGAGGTCCCACAGATTGTGGCTGTGTGGGTTTGGCTCCCAACTAGGCCTTTCATCCCAATAGCCACCCAGACCCACTGGGCTTCAGGACGTTTGTTTGCACCCTGGATGGAAGGGGCATAGTACATGCAGGTACATGCTGTACAGGGGACCTAGAGTGAGCAGCTGGGAACAGGATTGGCTCGGGGCCGATGTTGGAAGCCTACTGACCACAGATTCACAAGAGTATGGCCTTAGAGCTGGGCTAGGGATTTGGGGACTAGGGAAGTCTTCAGACATTCCCATTGTCACTTGCCTGGGAGGTTGTAGCTTGAGCCACCCCTCTTGGGGCTTGTGGGCACTCAGCCTCAGGGCCTCCTTCTGATGGGTGGGTGCCTTGGGCCTCCTGCCATCAGTCCCAGCTTACTTTGAGCAAGCAAGGCCTGCCACTGGCCGCCCACATCTGGGTCTCCAAAAAGGCCTGAGGCCTGTGGGACCGGCTCCCCTGGTCCATGCTTCCTCATGGATAGCCTTGCCTGTTGTCTCCCTGCTTCCATGTCAGCCCATTTGGAAAGATTTCTATCTCCCACATAAATTATACCTTTAAAGGGATAATTCATGTGTCTTGTTTGTTATTAAGCCAAGAGCAATCAGAACAGGGTCATCAAGGCCCATGGAATGGCGGGACTCTCAGTGGAACGCAGGCAGTGTCTGTCAGAGCTGCTCAGATGGCTGTGAGGGTTTGATGGACATTTTGAAATAAGAAAATGAGCCCAGAGATTCAGTATTTAGGACAGAAACCTTTGGATTAACATTAAGTCTTTGCTCCCATTTGGCCTTTTAGGAGTATAGGGGGACATCTGCTTAGTGTAGTCTAAGCCCTGTGATAAGTTACTCACATGCTCCAGTTCCACACAGTCCCAGCACACCCATGGGATGGGTTCTGCGATCAGTTCCTGTTTGACATGTCAGGAAACTGAGGCTGACAGAAAGTGACTTGTTGAGTGATAGCTAGGGATCAGCAGAGCCTGTGTTACTCCTCAGCCCAGCTCTGGACCCTGTGTGCCTCCAATGTCATCTTGGTGGACTCCCCACAGCAGTTCTTCTCTGAGGACAGCTCTTGTTCATACTAGGCAGAGAGCACCATGCAGGCTTGGAATATGGGGAATACAAGAATGGAGACAGGCCCCTTACCTGTGTCCCCAAACATAAGATAGGCCAAGCCCAAGAGTGTAGTGACTGAGAACTGGACACCTTACAAAAGGCATGGACAGCCATTCTTATTTCCACTGGACCTCCAAGCTGACCTGGGAAATAGGCTGAAGTCAACCTCACTACAGATGAGGCCCCAAGGGAAGTGGCTTTCTCAAGGCCACACAATAAGCAAGAGGTAGGTCTAGGGCTTTCCCTTTTCTATTTCTCTGCTAAGTGATGAACAATCTATATCATGTGTTTTGTTAATAATCCTCCCACTTATCCACATACTTACTCAGTTATTCATCCATCATCCATCTACCCTTCCATCCATCCATTCATCCATATATCCATTCTTTTTTATTTATTTATTTTTTTTGTTTTGGAGACAGGGTTTTTCTGTGTGTCCCTGCCTGTCCTGGAACTTACTCTGTAGACCAGGCTGGCCTCAAACTCAGGGATCCACCAGCCTCTACCTCTCACATGCTGGGATCAAAGATGTGTGCCACCACCACCTGGTATATCCAGGCATTTTTATCATCTATCCGTCTTTCCATCACCCATCCAACTATCCTCCACCATGGGTCCACCTACCCACCCCCACCCATCCATTCATCTACTTACCCTTCATCCTTCCATCAGTCATCCATCCCTCCATCTATCCATTCATCCCTATCTAGCCAGCCTTTATCCAATCTTATCTTCATACATCCACCCATTCTAGTTTCTAATTTATCCATTCTTCTTCATGAGGAGGCTCAGGACTTGAGCTTTGACTAAATGGTCATACTTTTGCTAAGACAAAATTTAATTGTTTCCTAGGAGGAGATCCCTGTTCCCATCAGATGATGAGCTACTGACATAACATTTCCTCTGGAATTCCTACTTTAGGATCCAGCCCAGGCTTGGGTACCAGACAGAGTCCACATCTTCGTGTAGATGATGCTTCTAATGCCCCTTTTTCTGTCTGATACCATCTTTAAAATGCTCTAAGTGATGGACTTGAAAAAATTTAATTTCTTCAGACATGAGTCCAGAAATGGAAATTCCCTTAGTAGTGAACCCAGGCAAAGAAACTGAGTTTGTAGATTAGCTGCCAGTCCCCAAACTTAGAAACTCGGGATATTCCAACTCCTTTGCCTCTGATGTCCAGGCCCCTGCACATGGAGGTCTTGGAACCTAAATTTTTGTCTGTCCCACCACTACCATCACCATCACCACCACCAGCCAAGACATGCAGCTGGTATTTTTCAGAGCCACACCCACCCTGTTGCCTAGAACCCATGTTTTCCGAGGCGCACCCAGAGCCCCAACAGCAGGCCGCCTTTCCCCCTGGGAAGGGGTGAGCCACCAGGAGGCTGGCCGCGCTGAAGTACAGTTCTTTATTCTAGAATTTGATGTCAGCCCAAACTGAGTGTCTGATGTGTGTATCATCAGGGCAACTTGGTGCCCAGCGGGCAGGTAAAGCTGGAGTTGCCACTGGGATTTTAGTTGACATTCCTAGGAAGAGGTGTGCCTAGGGTACCACCTCTTCGCCTGAAGGCCATGGCTTTTCCAATGGCTCTGGGAATCCCAAGCCATGAATGACCTGGGAGGAGCACAGCTGGGCTCTGAAAGGTAGGGCAGGCAGGAGCTAAATCACTGCCCAGGGCAGGTCCAGGGTGTGGGGATGAATCAGGGGGCCAGTCCACCCAGGTACCCTGGGGCTTGGCAGATCTGGGTACCAGCTTCAAAGCCCTGTGACTCAGGTTCAAGTTCCTCTTCTTCCCGTGCCCCCTAATCTATGGGTAAGTGCCTGGTATTGGACTAGCTTAGAGGCAGTGCAGTCCAGGGTTGGACAGTCTACTTTTGTTTTGTTTTGTTTTTTATAAGCTAGATGGCAAAGGGCACACTGAGGCTTGACTCTTCTGAGTGTCTAAAGCTACATCCATCAAGGCATCTGAGAATGAAAGATTTCACCTGGGAGGCTTTGAGGTAGAGCCAAAGAAGGCCCCATGGATGGCTTCTGTCACTCACTGAGATGGACCCCATGGAGTAGATGCTCTCCTGTAAGGGAGGTGTGTGTGTGTGTGTGTGTGTGTGTGTGTGTGTGTGTGTGTGTGTGTGTGTGTGTGTGTGTGTGTGCACACACATGCAGGAGAGTGGGATGTGTGTGTGTGTGTGTGTGTGTGTGTGTGTGTGTGTGTGTGCATGCACATGCATAAGTGTAGGATATTACTGGAATTGTGCCATGGACCAATTCCCACAAGTATGTCCTCTGCTGTTCTACATTACTGGGTCTCTCCATTGTGAGCTGCACTTTGGTTGGGACCAGTCACCACATTTGCTAAAACACCATTCAATGACACACCAGATAAGAGGTGTCCTGAGACACCTGGATGATAACAACTTCAGTTGGAAGTCCAAGACTGGCCCTAGTTTGGCATAAGAATGAAATAGCTCAACAAATGCCCATGTTGACATTGGTCTGTGTGAGTCTGAACATGACCTGTTTCTCCTGCCTTGTCTCCTCAGTGCTGATCTGGGCGCCCCACACCCAACAGACCATAGCCAACATCCTTGCCCCAGTGCCACACATCCTTTCTTGATTCCTACCTGATTTATTCTGTCCATTTTTCAAGGTTCACTACAATTTTGTGCTTTGTGTTTTGTTTTTATTTCTGAGGTACTAGCTCATGTAACCAAGGGTGGCCTCAAACTCCCTACATAGCCAAGGCTGACCTTGAACCCCTGATCCTCCTGCCTCTACTCTTGGAAGTGCTGGGATTATAGACATGTGCCATCAAGCCAGGCTTCATCACAAGTGTTGTCTCCCCTAGAAAGTACCCTCAGCTCTATTCAATGCAGGAGGTCTAACTCTCCTCTGAATACCTGCAGGTTGTCTATTATAGCCATCTCTGGCCAGGCCTTCTCTTGCTTCTCACTGGGGTCAGGGGGCAGGCTAGTGGCTGAAAACTCTGCTCCCAGTGTCAGGTCAAGTTAGGTTTGAATCCAAGACCCACGTCTCATCTCAAGTGGTCTTCCACTTTCTTTGGGTTCAGTTTCCTTCTGTATGAACGGATGGTCATGGATGGCAGGGGTGAGGATTCCACAAGAAAGAGTCAGCTACTGATAGCAATCCACATTACTGATCAAATCTGATGACATAACACTCAGTGCTCACAGCATAACCTTTTGAGGTATGTCAACTTGTTGATCTCCAGGTTCTAAGAGGTCCAGGTGCTTTCCCAGGTATGTTCAGGGCTCAAATCCAGTCTGTATGAATGAATTCCTCCGATCTTCTTGCCCTTTGCCATTTATGTGATGACAACCTCTCTCCCAGATTATGTATACAGCTATTCTAGATAAACTAGAAACAAGAGTCAGTGAGGATTGCCTTAGCCATCCTTGCCCATGTCCCCTGGGCCCCTCAGATCTGATGGCTGTTTCTTAGCTATCACAAAGTTCACGCGCATACCAGATTTGTGGACTGATGGCTGTACAGTTTGGCATTCTGGTTCAGTGTTCCAAGGACAGTGCTGATCAGTGTCCACTGGGGATGTACCAACATTTGTGAGGCAGGTGAGGTTTCTAAGTTGCCCAAAGAGTCCCCAGGAGACTGAAGGGGAGAACTTTTAAGTCCAGGATAACCTGGAGCTGCAGGTGTTGGTTAAG